CTGAAGGGGGAAAAAGGGGTTTCTAAGGTCCAGTCATCATGACTGGGCATTTCCTGTCCTGGGCTGCTGAACACGGGGGCATTGCAGCTCCTGGGCCTGCTGCAGTTCTTCTCTTGCCTGGGGCTTTTCCAAAGTGCATTTGGAGATTGGAGAAAGTGCTGCAGTGTCCTGCTCTCTGGGATATGGCAGTCAGGCTTTTGTGACAAATTCCATTTTTTTGGCAATTGTTTCCATGTCTAATGGCGTGCAAGTCAGCAGTGTTCACCAGAGCTCTAGGCTAGCAAGGCCAGTGGAAGCCTCTGTGAAGGATGGATTGAGAAACCCACAGAGGAATTATTTCCAAAAATGCTATAAATTTAATCATTCCTTTTTTCCTCTTGTTGGTCTCCTAAGGGAAAGAAATTTTCTCAGTCAAGTGTTGAGGAAAGGAGGGCTGCTCACATAAATGAGTACAGGACAATGGCACAAAATACACTAAAAAAAGATGTTCCAACACCAGGCAAGGGGAACTTAGAGTTCTGGCATGAGTTAGTAATTTAGGAGGCAAATCAACATGCAGGAATTTATCAGGCCATCATTCTGTCTGTAAATGACAAATTTGATGGGCAAGTGCCATATGGTATAAAAATCAGTAAAGGAAAACAAATTAGTGTAAAGGGTTTGACAACAGTGGAAGTTTCATTATCATAGAATGTTTAAACTAATAAACCCCCTAAAAATCTATTATGTTTTCATAGCTTGTAAACTATTGGATATTTCAAGCATTCTTCAATACAGATTAATATTAATTAGTTGGGTTTGTGCCATAATAATTATGAGTTAATTTAATATTTGTGTAGGGAGGAGTATGAGGGATATTTATGTGATCCTTTTTCAGATTTTGCAGCTGACTGTGTGCTGAAGTTTGAAAAGTTTTGTCATTATATCATGAGGAAAATTGCCAATTATGTATTTTACACATTACTTTCATCAGATGCTATTAAAAAAATCCTTTATGACCAAAATTAAAGCTGCTCAGGCCCTTTGAGAGTGGCTGGTTGTATTTTAAGATTGTGGGTGCATTTTCAGCATCAGGGCCTGACTTTGGGCCCAGTGGCCTATAAACCTAATTTTGGGCTGTACATCTTTCCAGATCACAGCCCAAATCAAGGGTTTGATTATATCATCAACACCTTATTTGTTCTTAATGGCTTAGGGAGTATTTCATTTATGTCAAATTCTATTTTCACAGAAATTAAGTTGCATTTATGTGGAATTGCTGTAATTGTGCTTTTTATAAAAAGTCTGTTTCAGCTCGCAGTTTTAGTTTGGGTTTCTGGAAGTGGTTGTGTATCAAGGTTTGCGTGGGCAGGGGAGAGCTTCTGGTTTGGGATTTATTTGTTGTTGTTGTTCCATTTTTGCAGGAGTTAAAGGAAGACAATCAGGTGTTGCTGGAAACCAAGACAATGTTGGAAGATCAGTTGGAGGGGACCCGAGCTCGATCAGATAAACTGCACGAGTTGGAAAAGGAGAATTTACAGCTGAAAGCAAAATTGCATGACATGGAGATGGTGAGTGGCAGGGGAGGGGGGCAAAGGCAGCTCATACACACTGAATTTAATTTCCTTTCTTAATAAAAGCCTTCAAAATAGCAAAGAGAAGGAATGTGATGATAAATGCAGAGATTCAAGAGCAATAGGTTTGATTTTTTTGATGTGAATCAGTTGTCACTTAAATATTGTGTTTACCCCGTGCACTTTGCTTCCTAATATTTAGAAAGAAGTTAACTTTGGAAGAGTAGGGAGTGATTGCTGGAGGTTATGAGGAGAAGAGGTTCTTTGTAATCTTCTTTTTACAAAAAGTTCCTCAAATCCCTTTCAAAGTTCTCCCAACTTTTCTCAGTTCCTCCCCATCTCAGTGTCTGAGCAGATCAGAAAAAGCACTTTGCCCTCCCCTGTGACAACATAATAAAGATAATATAATATAGACATCAATAGAATATAGATAATAAAATATTTTGCATCTATTGAGACTTCTCTTTTAACCTGTGAAATCATTTCCAAGGAGCGTGATATGGACAGAAAGAAGATTGAGGAGCTCATGGAGGAAAACATGACCCTGGAAATGGCTCAGAAACAAAGTATGGATGAGTCTTTGCATCTTGGCTGGGAGCTGGAGCAGATAAACAGGACTACTGAACTTTCTGAAGGTAAACATGAGTTATTGGAATGGAAATCTCAGAGGCTGGGTAGCATTGGGAAATTAAATGTATTTCTAAAGTGTCCTCTAGAGAAATGCTGATTCCCGTGTGTCCATTGAGATACAGGCTGACCATGAGAAGTCTTGCCCAGTTCAATAGTTGTGTCAACCCCATAAATACCTGGAAATTCCATTATTTGCCATTCACACTTGTGTACTCTGCAGCACAGATCAGGAGTCTTCTGGCTTTGCTGTTCTCCAAGGGAAGGAGAGGAGCTGTGGTAAAAATTTGGATTCTTCAGTACAACATACTTGGATACAAACTGGATTCTGTGCAAAGCACTTGTGGAATTTGGAGCCACATCCTGAGTTGTGGGAAACAAATCTGTGCTGTGATTAGTAGGGTAGAACATATTTTAATTTCTAATATTTCTAATCCTGATCAGCTCTGGTCACCAAGAGGGCATTGGAAGGACCTTCAAAGGCTGTTAAATCCTCTAAAAATGCAGAATCTGAACAATTCTGGCTGCTAAGTCAGCTTTTATTTGAATAATGGTGTTTTTCTCCTGCAGTGCCACAGAAATCACTGGGCCATGAGGTGAATGAGCTGACATCCAGCAGGTTACTGAAGCTGGAAATGGAAAACCAAAGTTTGCTGAAGACTGTGGAAGAGCTGCAAAGTGCAGTGGGCTCTGTGGAAGGCAGCAGCTCAAGGATTCTGAAAATGGAAAAGGAAAACCAAAGACTTAGCAAGAAGGTAAAGGTCAGGGTGTGCTTGGATGGTGTGAGGGCTGCCTCATGTTCTCTGCCATTTTCTTCCTAAAGAGTGATTTTATCAATTGCTGTTATTTTGAGTAAGGCATTACAAGGGTCTGAGTGGAGTTACAGTGTGTGTAAGTTTATGGTAAAAAGTAAAACCACCTCCAAGAGGTTTTTTTCTTTATGTGAGAGTGTGAGCAGTTGATTCAGAAAGGTCTTGGACCAGTGAGGGGAAAAAGTAATAATATATTTGGGATATGATGAGTAATGGAAGTGGTTGAGAATAGTGCAGAGCATTAATTTTGGTAATTCTGAAGCAGAAGAAAGTGTGTGTGCAGAGATGCAGAGTGAGAGATGAGCCTGAGCTGAAAACTCGGTCCTGTGTGCTCATTTCAGCTGGGAGAGGGAGAAGGTGGCTCAGGGAGTTGATGAACAGCTCAGGAGGGGAGTTTGGCAGCTTTAGCTGTGCTCAGCTACAGCACTTTGCTCCTCAAATGGTGTGTGTCAAATAGAATCATTTAGTCAGTGGTATTTATAGAAAATAAAAATTAGGGAAAAAAAGAAGCTGGGGCTAATTACAGTGGAGTGAAAATGTCTAAAATTCCTGAAATAGCTTTGACATCAGCAGCTACTTCAGGTGAAAGACTATTCTTAGAGTGGCTAAGAGATAATTAAAAAAAGAAAATTAAAGAAATCCCTACTGCATTCCATGCTTCCATGAGTTTCTGATTCTTAAGAAGCTGCTGTTCTTTGGAGCAGCCTCTGTGCTGTGCCCAAAAGAAGAGGGAGGTACAAAAGGAAGGAATAGAAACACATAAATATCATTCAGGTCAACTTGTTACCACTCAAATGTGGCAGAGAAATCATGCTTGGCTATTTTAAATTTTAAATAGCTTTGCTCTCTGCAGCATGGAAACACTTGACAAAACAAACTCATATTTTTAATTCCCAAGGAATCATCTTAATTATCTCTTGAAACAGTTAAGTAAGATCAAACAACATTCAACCTTCCTAAGTTAAAAGGGTCTTGGAGGAGCAGTATAAATCTCACTGAAATGGGATTTTAAGAGAAAAAAAAGATGCTGCAGGAAATATCCAGAGCCTGAGAAAATCTGACCCTTTTTTTTTTTTTTTTTTTACACACTAGAGTACTTTATAGATACAGTGTTCTGAGCCAGGGAGAAAATTCTGGCAGGAGTAAATGTATTCCCAGAAGAAATGAATGTTTCAATTAAAGATTAGAAAATTCTGTTTAATTTCTTCCCTTAAGCTTCTTTATTCATTTCTATAAGGGTGCCTTCAACCCAGCTAAGACCGTCATTCTTAAGTACATTTTCAAACTTTTGTTTCTCTTCCCAGCTTGAAGAGCTGGAGAATGAAATTAGCCAAGAGAAACAAAGTCTTCAGAACAGTCAAAATCAGAGTAAAGATTTGCTGAAGGAAAAAGCCCAGCTTGAAAAGACACTTGAAGCACTTCGAGAGAACTCCGAGCGACAAGTGAGTAGCACAACCCAAAGTTTTCCTGCTGCTTTGTGCTCTGCTGCTCCCCTCTTGGAGGCTTTTCCGACATAAAGGGATTGGAAATGCAGTGGATTTGCCAAAAGGAGGTTCCTGCAGGAAAACAGCTTTGCTGGGAGCTGCAGGCAGTGAGAGACATGACTCATTTCTGGCTGGGGCTTTCCTGTGGGTTCAGAGCTTTGTCACACTCCCACAGCTTCATGGAGCTGCTGGGAGGGTGCAGCTCAGCCTGGAGAGAAAATTGGGAGCTTTGGAGGGAGGCCAGACACCTCCCAGAGGAGGAGAGCAGGTCCCAGGAGCTGGCAGTGCTTGGAGTAATGTTGGAGTAATGTTGGAGCATTGATGGCAATTCCAGCAGCCTCAAATCCTGCTCCATCCTTCTGCCCTACACTGGGATGGGCTCCTGCTGTGGGCACCTGGATTGATTTGGGGCTGCCAAAAACTGACATCTGAATGTTTGTAAAAATGTACCTGATGGACACTGGCACCTCCTGAGTGCCAGAAAAAGAGTTCTGGAATTCCCAGATTTAGGAATTGAGTCCTTCAGAATTAGAACTGTGTGATGGTGCTCACAGGGGTCTGAGCATGAGGGCAGAGACCAGGATCTGACTCCATGTTTCAGAAGGCTGATTTATCATTTTATGATATATATTATATTAAACTATACTAAAAGAATAGAAGAAAGGATTTCATCATAAGGCTGGCTAAGAATTGAAAAGGAATGATAACAAAGGCTTGTGACTGACTGAGACAGTCTGAGCCAGCTGACTGTGACTGGCCATTAATTAGAAATAACCACACAAGACCAATCACAGATCCCCCTGTTGCATCCCACAGCAGCAGATAATCCTTGTTTACCTTTTGTTCCTGAGGCCTCTCAGCTTCTCAGGAGGAAAAATCCTAAAGAAAAGATTTTTTTAAAAAAATATCATAACTACAGAGCTGCTTTTTAGCTTTTATAAATTCTCTTTATACCTCCTGACGACATGGCCATTTAGTTTAATTTAAAGTCCAGTATTCTGAAATGCAGAGTGTTATATTTCAGAAAATACTAAGTATTTTTAAAGTCTGTTTATTGGTAAATGGAATTCCAGAAGGAAGAAAAGAGGGAGGTGAAAAAAAAAAGCTTGGCATGGAAGGTTTACTTTCACTTAAAGATACATATCTTGTTTTAGGATTGATATTTCAGAGGGCCTATTTCTGCTTAAAACTAATTTACTTAGGGGCTGATGGGTCAACAGCAACTTCCATATTTTTTCTAAAATCCTATGCTGACACTTAGTGCAGTAGGAGTCATTTGGATGAGATAAAATTCATTTGGTCTCATCCAAAATCCTGGAGGCATTTGTCAGGATTTTTTTGTAGAATTGGGATTATAGAAGCAGAATTCATGGACATTATTCAGTGCCATGGCAGGTGCTCCAGAGCTGTGTTTTTAGGCACCTGTTAAGGAGTTTCTGGTGAATATTCCAGAGCAGTTTGTCATTGCTGGGAGCAGTGGATCTGTAATTAATAGTTCCATTCAGATTTCACTGTGGGAGAACAGCCTGTAATTTTCTCAGTCTGTTTTTCATTGCAAGCAGCATTTTTGCTTTTCTCCCAAACAATTTATTGTTGAAACATCCCTTACACTGGGTTATTAGTGTACATTTAAATATTGATCCAAGCAGTTTTGCTGGATTTTGCTGTCTGGTGTTACATGCCCAAATAACTCAAAAAGATTTGGAGCAACCTAAAAAGTCAAGAAATACTGAAAATTAAGGTGTAGGTTCTGCCTTTATCCTTGAGTTAGATCTGGAAAAATGTTTCCTAGGAAAATAATTCCAGTATTATTTACTTTCTCTGGAGCTAGTTTGGAACAGAATATCCAAAGGTTGTTTTTAACTCAAAAATCAGTGTAACTTTGGTGTGTTTCCTCTCAAATTGTTGTTGAATGTGATCAGGATTCCCTCACCTCCCATCCCTCACTTCTACTATTTCCAAATGAAATAAAGAGAATTTTGTGATTTCCACACCTCCTTCCATTTCAGGTTTGGTTCAGAACTTGCTGCAGTTCTGTTCCTTGTGGACACACAGCTCTGCAAATCACAGTGTGAGAAAAAACAATGTAAACATGGGTAAACACAAATGAAAATTAAATTTGCCAGGGAGTAGGTAAAGCTTTCTTTTGATTTGTGCTTTATTAGTTTTGGGCTTACTGAATATTACTGTTAATATTCAAGAGGAAGAGATATGAAGATTTACTTTGTTGTCACACTTGAAATAATGTTTGTGATTCTTCACATAAACATTAGCAGAGTAAGAGATTTTCTTTAACTTAAAATAAAAGGTGAATATGATATGATGAGTATCTTTTAGTTAAATATGAAAGCAATTCCTTGCTGGCACTTTATTTATCACTTTGCCATTTTTCTACCCAAATTAGATTAAACTCTTAGAACAAGAAAATGAGCACTTGAATCAAACCGTGGCTTCTCTAAGGCAGCGCTCACAAATCAGTGCTGAGGCCAGAATGAAAGAGATTGAGAAGGAAAATAAAATCCTCCATGAGTCTATCAAAGAGACCAGCAGTAAGTTAAATAAAATGGAATTTGAAAAAAAGCAAGTCAGGAAAGAACTGGAACACTACAAAGAGAAAGGGGAGAGGGCAGAAGAATTAGAGAACGAGCTGCATCGTCTGGAGAAGGAAAATGAGTTATTACAGAAGAAAATCACCAACCTAAAAATCACTTGTGAGAAGATTGAGGCCTTAGAACAAGAGAACTCTGACCTGGAGACAGAGAACAGAAAGCTGAAAAAAACCTTGGATAGCCTGAAAAACCTCACTTTTCAATTGGAATCCTTAGAAAAGGAGAATTCCCAACTGGACGAAGAAAATTTAGAGCTACGGAGGACAATCGAATCCTTGAAGTGTACGAGCATTAAAGTGGCACAGTTACAGTTGGAGAATAAGGAGCTGGAGAGTGAAAAGGAGCAGCTCAAAAAAAGCCTTGAGCTGATGAAAGCCTCTTTTAAAAAGACTGAACGCTTGGAAGTCAGTTACCAAGGCCTGGACACAGAAAACCAAAGGCTACAGAAAGCCCTGGAAAACAGCAATAAGAAAATTCAGCAATTAGAGAGCGAATTACAAGATTTAGAGACTGAAAATCAAACCCTGCAAAAGAACTTGGAAGAGTTAAAAATCTCCAGCAAGCGCCTGGAGCAGTTGGAAAAGGAGAATAAGTTGTTAGAACAAGAGACTTCTCAACTGGAAAAGGATAAGAAACAGCTGGAAAAGGAAAATAAAAGGCTTCGACAGCAAGCAGAAATTAAAGATAGTACCTTGGAAGAAAATAATGTCAAAATCAGTAATCTGGAAAGGGAAAATAAATCTCTATTTAAAGAAATAGTTGTGTATAAAGAGTCCTGTCTGCGCCTGAAGGAGCTGGAAAAGGAAAACAAGGAGTTGGTGAAAAGAGCTACCATTGATAAGAAAACCCTGGTCACTTTAAGAGAGGTAAACAGAGGAGTTTCCATTCCCATCATAATCTGTGTATAATGTACAGAAATTATAGCTGGGTCTCTGATCTGGGGTTTTACTCTGCATTAATCTGTGTACTGTTAACACCTTTGTGCATTAGAGAATCAAAATTTCTGAAATCAGTCATGGAAAGGAAGAATATCATACTGCTGGGATGTTTCCCCTTCACTGGCATGTGTAGACCAAATTTAGAGAAAAATTCTGAAGGAAATTTTAAATGGAAAAGAAGAGAGCCCAGGGACATCAAATTCTAGTTGCAGTGTAGTGTCTGATCCAGCTGAAAGCTGGCAGCTGCAAAGAGACTTAAAGCTGAATTATTCCAGTCATGTAGGGATAAAACACCCTTGTCTCAGCACTCCTAGAACTCCACATTACATTCTTTTATTTTGCTGAACTTTTTATTATTGATTTTAATTTTATTTTGCTATAAGTACTGACTGTAGTTTTTTTTCTGTGCAAGGACTTGGTGAATGAGAAATTGAAGACTCAACAGATGAACAATGATCTGGAAAAACTGGCCCACGAGCTTGAGAAAATTGGCTTGAACAAGGAGCGTCTCCTGCACGATGAGCAGAGCAGTGATGACAGGTGAGAATGACAAAAAGGACAAACGAGGATCTTTTTTATTCTCAAAGTGATTTTGCAGACTGGTTCTGTGCATACTCTTAACATTTTTAAGGCACACTCATAGACCCAAAAAGGAACTTGATATTTTTGGAAATAATTAGTTGGTGTGCTGCTTTCACATTCAGCTGACTGTGACAGTGAGTTGCTACTTTTTGTTGCTAAGAGACTCATTGAAGTATGTCAGGAGATACAGTTAATTATAATTAAAATGTTTCATGCTCTAGTCAGCAGCAGCAACAGCAGCAGTAAAAGATAATTAGCTCAAAGTAATTTTTTTTCCCTTTTTGTCTGCCTGTCTGACACAAATGGTTTTTTGTAGCATAGTGATTACCTGAACTGTCTCACTCTTTCCTTGCAACCATTTCCTTCAAATTCTTCCATCCTGAAGGCAAAGCTGCATTCCCACTTGGCCTGGCTGGGAAGTGCCCAGTGCTGGTGTGGCTCCATCCCTCCTGCACACCTGCACTGCAGAGCAGCTACTGCCCTGACTTCTGTCTCCTCTGCTGCATTTTCCTCATCCTGCAGGGATTTAGGGAAAATTGGTGACACTGTGGGCTTGCAGCCAAGCTTTGCTGTGCAGATTCACCAGTGCAGTTCTGCTCTCATTATTTGTTATTGCAGCTGATTGTCCTAAGCATGGAGATTGATCTGGGGCCTGCTGTGTGCACAGGAGCCCAGACAACACCTGGGGTTGGAATCCAGCTGGGGTTTGAGTGCAGCTTCCCTTTCCCAGGCTCCTGTGTTGCCCCCTCTTGGTTTCTGCTGCTGGCTTTCACCTGCCTTCCTCTGTTGAAGTGAAGGAAGATGACCCACGTTTGTTCATCAGCATCTTCAGTTTATTGATCAAATCAGACACCTTTTATAACAGTGTTAATTCACTTCATGCATATTGCAAAATCTGAGCTCCTGATAGGCTGTAGAGAAAACTTCAGCTCCTCCTTTTGTTTACAATACCTGAGGTTTGTTTATTGAAACCAAGATCAGTGTTCTCACCGTGATATGAAAAGTTCTCAAAGCCTTCATATCTATTCCCAGAACGGCCATCCGTTCCCAGAGCAGCCAAGGACAGAATATTTGCCTGTTATAGAAAAGATGGTCTGAGAATCTTGTTGTTTATATAAAAGGTGGCTGAGAACCTTAATTATTTACAGGATCAAGCCTGGGAACTGCTGCTTTACAGCAGCCTTTTATTTTTCCCTTAGCTGAATACCTTCATGGCCTCTTTCTTTAAGCCATGTTTGAACCAGGCTCTCCACATTCCTCGGCTCCCACATAAATTCAGGAGAAGTTCTCAGAGCTTGAACTGGTTGGATTTGCTCTGATTTAAGCATTTCTGGTCACATACAGCCCTTGATAAGCATTTGGTGTGTCCTTAGGTAAATATACCCAATAAAAACCACCAGATCTTGATCCAAGGTGAAGCTTAAACTTAGCTGAAGCCCAAATGGAGCAACATTTAATCAAGTTCTAGGTTAGAGGTGCTTGAGCTTCTTCCCAAGCTCCATGTGAGCTGGAGGATCATGAAAGGGCAGTGTTTGCTATCAAAGTGAGAGCCAGGATTGGTTCGAAATTTTGCTGTGCCCATGAATATCCTGATTTTCCATCATTCTCAGCTTCTTCATTCATCCCAAAGGTACCTGGATTGCTTTCCTTACATAACAATTCATAGGTGAGTCATTGCCAGCTCTTCCTTCAGGGCTGTGAAGAGCTGGGTTCATTGTGGATAAAATCACTTCTCAGTGGAGTTTTTCATCTGCCTCTGTCATTCTGATAATGGAAATTAAAAATGTACCATTTTCTTCCTCCTGGTTGGCAAGAGCTGCTTGTGCTTTTTAAGGAATGATCTTTGATAGCACCTCAGAGTGTTTCCATTGAGGTCTAAACTTGCCAGGATTTATGAGTTAACTTGGAAGTGTTTCCCATTTTCTCTTGCCTGCTGTCCTTGGACAAACAGATTTATGGATTTTGATCTGAATTCAAAATAACCCAGCTTGCAGTCATATTTAAAAATGTGTACTATTTTTCATTGTTCAAAGTGGAAGTGGGTATTGGATCTCTGCTATTATTAGTTTTCCTCCTTTGTTTTCTATAGAACTGTGTCCTTCTTCAGTAGCAGGAATTACTTGTAGCCAAATCTGTGCTTCAGCCCCAGAAGGTGAAATTCTGTATATTCTACTGGTCACAGGCTGCCTACTATTCCATAAATCCTTGGGAATGAGTTGTCAGATGTGGAATTCTCAGATTCCCCTGGTGCTGCATGATGCTACTGGACAGCTTTCTGCTTATTAATTCTCTTCCCATTGGTCTTCTGCTCCAGTTCCTGACTGGATCTGATGCCATTGTCCATTCAGGAGGCTGCTGCACTTTATTCCCTTCACTGAACTGATGGATCCTTCAGCAGCCAGGATTAGAAAGGGGAATATCAGGGTTGGGTTTGTTTTATCCAGCTGTGGGGAGGAGTGGGATGTTCTCCACATTCTGAGCCACTCACAGGGACTGAGCTGCTTAGGAGTGATTAATGGGGTTGTGGTGTTAATGAGTTTGGGTTGTATTTCCCATAAAGAATGTGCAGTTCTGAATCAGTCCCGTTTAATCTCACCACTTCTCTCTCAAACTGCTATTTTGGGGGGTTTTAGGTGCCCTACAGTATCATGAATGTGGTTAAAAATGGAAGCTTTGCACATCAAGGGTGGCAGCAGTGTTAAAATCCCAGCAGCTGTGCCGAGTGAGCAATTTGCACATGGATGCACCAAACAAGTGTGCACCTGCACAGGGCTGTGCTCCATCTCCTTCCCTGGCCTCCCTTTGGAGCTGCAGGAAATGGGAACTGATGAAAATCTTGCTCTCCAAATACTTCACACCCTAATTGAGTTCAGGTCCCTGCGGGATGGGCAGGAGTGGAGCCAGAAGGAATCCAGGCAGCGCTCACTGATGGTGCAGAGAGACCCAGCACCCCTGGGGTGCCCCAGTGGGGCTTTTTCTGGCTCTGACACCTTTTAAAAGAAAGGAGGAGTCAGAAATGGTTTTGACAACCACCTTCTGGTCATTTTTGACATACAACTTGCTTTGGATGCTGAAGTGTCTTCATACTTTAGAGCATAGCACGGGGATTTTTGAATTTTGATTTTTAGCCATGAGTCTCTTCTAGAAGATTTCAGAATGTCAATACCTCCAATAATTATTTAAAATACAGACTCTTTGTTGTTGTTGGCCAGTAGGTACAAGCTTTTGGAGTCTAAATTAGAATCCACGCTCAAGAAGTCTCTGGAAATAAAAGAAGAAAAAATTGCTGCTTTGGAGGCTCGTTTGGAGGAATCAACAAATCTGAACCAGCAGCTGCGTCAGGAGCTGAAAACAGTAAGGAAAAAAGGGCATTTGTCTAGAATATTCAATGAGCTGGTGTTAGTTCTACACTTTTTGGGTAGAACAGCAAAAAATGGGCTTCATTCTGGTCACAGAAAGCAGGACAAAGGTGTGAATGCTTTTAGGACTGTGACTGCTTTTAGGATGGTGTTGAAATCACATGAGAAGTTGTTGAGCTTATTCACTGGCCATGAAAATGTCAGCTGGATAAATAACCTGGAGTTGATTTGATTTGGGATGTCATTTCCAGTTACATTTTCTGGCCTACCTTGAGCAGCCTGAGTGGATTGGTTGAAAAAGGAAATTCTGTCAATTCAACCAATTCTTGGTTGTAGGATTTTTGTATAAAAGTTGGGGGGTACAATTAAAAACACTGAAATAAAAAATTCTAAAATAGAGGTCTGCTGTTTGTTGGGGTTAAACTGTCCATACCTAGAAATAATTTGTACATCATCTCCCCAAACATGCAAAAACCAAATTTACAAATGCAGTAACAGCATTTCCTGTTCTTTGAGAAGGGTCATGGTCAGGTAATAAAGTAATAAATTTGGAAGTACAAAATGGAAAATTCTAAACCTAACCTAAGTTATCCTAAATAATTCCAGGTGAAGAAGAACTACGAAGCTCTCAAGCAAAGACAAGAAGAGGAAAGGATGGTTCAAAATTCTCCTCCAAGAAGTGGAGAAGGAAATCAGTCTGTCAATAAGTGGGAGAAAGAAAATCAGGAGACTACTAGAGAATTACTGAAAGTGAAAGATAGATTAATCGAGGTGGAGAGGAATGTAAGAAGTGTTTTAAATATGGTTCTGGTGGTAATAATTTGTGGTGAGCTGTTGCAGTAATGCAAATGAGGGTGCTGTTAAGACACTTTTAATTTCTCTCCTTGTTTCCATCCTGGGCACAATCTGAAATAAATGCAGTGTGTGCAGCAGCTGGGTTCTCCTCTGTGGGATGCCATAAAGCACTTGACAGGCATTTTCAAAGGAAATGTGAAAACCTGGGTGTGCCCTTTGGCATGCACAGCTTTGTCTCCAATCCCTGTTATGTAATCCCCATTTACCCAGTCCTGGAGGTTCCTCTCCTGTTCCTCCATAGGTGCAATTCTATTGCAGTGACCTTAGACAGTGAGAGAAGGACGAGAATTTTGTTTCTTGATTAGAAGGCTTGATTTATTCATATATGATATATAATACATTATAACTATACTAAAAAGAAAAAGAAGAGAAGTTGTAGAGAGCTGCTCAGCTAAGAATAGAATAGAAAGAATGAATAACAAAGTTCTGTGTCTAAAGAATCTGTCTCTGAGCTGCTCCTGTGATTGGCCTTTAATAATACACATAAAAGATGAGCCAATCACAGAGACACCTGCTACATTTCACAGCAGCTGATAACAATTTTTTACATTCTTCTTCTGGGGCTCTGCTTCCCAGAAGATAGACAAATCTCAAAGAAAAAATTTCTATGAAAAAATGTCTGCGACACAATTCCCTGTTTTTGCAGTGAGAAATCCCCAAAAGTGCGTTTGTTCTGCAGTTTTATCCCACCCTGTAAATCTCTGCATGCTCCTGCTGCTTTCCACGTTCTGGAGAACTCCTCTGTGTTACCTTGGGGTTGCTGGAGCAGCTGGGAGCTGAGGTCTGTGTGCTTTGCGCCCCCAGAACGCGACGCTGCAGGCGGAGAAGCAGGCGCTGAAAACGCAGCTCAGGCAGCTCGAGACGCAGAACAACAACCTGCAGGCCCAGATCCTGGCCCTGCAGAGACAGACTGTGTCCCTGCAGGAGCAGAACACAACTCTGCAAACTCAGAACGCCAAGCTGCAGGTAATGCTGCCTTAGCTCGCTTTCAAAAATAAAATTAAAATGGTTTTTTCCCCGAAGGAAAACTTAAAATGTGTTGTTATGGTTAGCTTTAAAATCACATTTGGCTTCCTGCAGAGACCTGGGAAAGAAGGTGATGTGAGAATAATCTGCACTCTGCTGTCAAAAATAGTTTGTTTGCTGATGAATAGCTACATTTTTAAAAATCTGTTGTAACTCTTTGTCCAATGTAAAATCTTACACTTAGAGTACATTCTCTTATCCATTGTGCCAAGATTCCTTGAGATTTTATTGTATTTATGCATCTAAATTAGATCAGGGAAGTAGTGTGTCCAACCATATTCTGATAAATTTTATCTATTTTTATAAATATTAAAAAAAACCCCAGAAGTGAAACCATACCTAAGAAGAAAATCAAGATACTTAAATACAGAAGATTTTCAAAAACCAAAAGAAAATGAAAAGCTACAGAAATATGTGAAGACCTGAATTTAGATAATTGGAAGGTAGTAAAAAAGGTAATGTGGGACCATGTAAATTATAAAAATGTTTGTCCCCAGAGTCTTGCAACTCTTCTGGCCAAAATGCAGATGCTTCCCTTATAATTTAATAGGGTTATTAAATATATATCTTCTTTCTTTAAACGTTAAATATTCTTGTTAATCAGTTTAATGCTTTTGGTGTTCTAAGAATCAAAACTCCTTCAAGAGGGGATAAAAACCCCACAGTGCAGCAGAAATAATAAAGTGTCAGAAATGATGGGGGGCCAGTGGAAATCAAGATGTCAAGGACTGTTTAAATGGAACAAATGATGCTTTTGGTGGATGCCTGGAGTCTCCTCCTGGCCCTTCCTGGGAAGCAGAGCATTGTTGTCCCATGGATGCACTTTGTGCTGCCACACTGAAATGTCATTAGTGCCCAGCACTCCAGTCCAGCAGGCCATGGGTGCCCCCCCTGTGCCACCTCTGGTTGGTAAAAACCAGTGGCTGTGACATGGGAGCGTCCCATTTAACCAGTTAAGTTAATTAAAAATTTTAAAAAATTAACCAAAAACCAGGGGATTGCTGGGATGCAGAGCTCTCTGAGTGCTTTGTAATTCCCTTCATCAACAAATGCCAGGAGTATCTGTGTAGTTCCTTTTTTGCCTCATGCCCAGCAGCACAGGCCTCTCCTCTCTGGCAAAACAATTCTCCATGAACTGCAAATCAACTTCCAAAGTGGAAGTTGAAATATGTTCAGGAAAATCAAAGTGATGAACTGTTGGCTAAATCTGAAGTGCAGGCTGAGCTGCTCTACCTGGACTGTGCCAGAATTGTTCCTCAGCAGCTAATTCCTCTCTTCCTGCTGATACCCATAAGGAGCAGCCAAGGGAAAGGATGTCTGAGGGGGTAACTGGGAATTGTGACCTAACCAAAGTCAGGATTCAGCCTGGGAGCTTTCCCAGCACACCCATGCCATCAGACATGACTTCATTTCCAGTGAAAGATTCAGCTTTCTCATCTGTAACAAAGAGCCCTGCAGTTGCAGCAGGAAGGGATTTGTTCCCTGGTAACAGCAGGAACTGGAGTGAGAGATGGAATTTTTTTTCCTTAATAGATACCCCGAGGGTATTAGAAGGCTCAGTAGTTTGTGGTTTTCATCTGGTGCACAGGAAAGAGAAGGAAGCTGGTACAGGTCAGGTGACAAGCACCAGTTTAAGATATCCAAGGATTTCTCCAGAGGCACAAAAAATGAAGTTGTTGGTTGATTGGGGCTTTTTAAAACTGTTTAATGTTGAAGGCTTTAGTGTATTAATACACGTGAATGCTCTTCTGGGACAGTTCTTGGAGAATTGGTGCTGTTCCACAAAAGAGCACAGAGCAGAACATGGGCAGTTCCTTCCAGGTGCTGTTGTTTATCTCCCTCTCTGTTAAATGGATGTTCCTGTTGGAACTCTCGCTGTGAAACAATGTGTGGATGCCATGAAGATTTCATGGTGACACTTCAGAATTTTTTAAAACATAAATCTCCATGCCTGAGTGAAAGTCCCTTTTATTTCAGTCATGTCACAGATTTGGCTTTTATCAGGATCACTGGTGATCTGTTTCTCCAAGGTATCTCAGTGCTGGGGAAAAACAGCCCTGTCAGCAAGATCACATTTTACAGATGTTGAAAGATAAATAATAATTTGATCCATCCCAGTCAATTCAATCACATGCTTCAGTGCTTTCTGCTAAGAAATACTCCTGGAACATTTTGAATTGGAGCTGTCTCCTGGGATGTAAGAAAAGGTTGTCTGAAAAAATTCCTTCTCCCAGGATTTTCCTCCTGGGAAGCTGAGAATCCTCAGAGGAAAGGAAAACAATTCTTATCTCATTTGCTTCTCCTGTGCTGTGCAGATGTGGAATGTGTTTGACCCACAGGTGATTGTTCCATTGCATTCTGCTGGGAGTTGTTTTCCCTCATTGGCCAATCGGGGCCAAGCTGTGCCAGGACTCTGGAAAGTGTCAGGAGTTTTCATTGTTATCTTTTTTTTCATAGTTATCTTTTTAGCATTCACTGAGTAGCTTTTCTGTATTCTTTAGTATTGTATAGTATTCTTTAATATAATATTATTATAATAACATTATATATTATGTTAGTATAATAATAACATTATATATTATAATATCAGTATAACATATTAATATTATTAATATAGTAGCATTGTTATAATATGATAATATAGTATGATAATAATAGAATACAAAAATATTATATGATAATATTAATATAATATGTTAATATTATTGATATTGTAATATAATATGACAATATTGTATAGTATTCTTTAATATAATAATAATATATATTATAATATTAGTATAACATATTAATATTATTAATATAGTGACATTGTTATAATATGATAATATAGTATGATAATAGAATACAAAAATATTATAATATTAATATGTTAATATTATTGATATTGTAATATAATATGACAATACTATTATGACATAATATTTATTACTAAAAATATAATATGATATTAATGATATCATAATATGGTATATTATAAGATATACCATTTATACACATTCAGCTGACTGATAATAATACGGTATGTTATAGAATATAATAATACGGTATATTATAATATTAATATAGTATGTTAATGTTATTGATATTGTAATATTAGAGTATGATATAGTAATAATAATAATAATAATATACAATAATATACAATAATGACATAATAAATTAGCCTTCTGAGAACATGGGGTCAGATGCATCATTCCTGCCTTTGTCGGGGCGTTCCCTACAAATACAATGGTTGCCAATGGAACAAGCAGAGGGTGAGAAGGGTTGAACCCAAGCAGTGTTTGGGAGGTGGGAGATGGAATAACCGCGAGTGCTGCTGTGTGTGGCTGCAGGTTGAGAACTCGACGCTGAACTCGCAGAGCACGTCGCTGATGAACCAGAACGCGCAGCTGCTGATCCAGCAGTCGGCCCTGGAGAGCGAGAACGAGGCGGCGCTGAAGGAGCGCGAGGACCTGAAGGGGCTCTACGAGGCCCTGCTCAAGGACCACGAGCGCCTGGAGCAGCTGCACGAGCGCCAGGCCGCCGAGTACGAGTCCCTGATCGCCAAGCACGGCAGCCTCAAGGCCGCCCACAAGAACCTGGAGGTGGAGCACAAGGACTTGGAGGACAGGTAAGGACGCAGGAAAAGCATTCAGTAGGAATGGCTGTCTGTGGGGGTACCTGTTGTGGGTTTCTCTGGGTCTGCATGAAGGCACTTGAGATGGTAGCTCATGTTCAGACCCCAGTGTTTATTATTTGTTATCAGTAAAACAGTCTCACTGCTGTGGGTTGGGCAGCTTTTCATTAGAAGGCACAAAATGGCCAACAATCCCTGTTCCAAGGTCTTTTAAGACTGAACTATCCAATTAAGAGCTGACACCTGGATTATTTTCCTTTTAACCCAATAATTGATGCCAAAGAGCCCACAATGGAACTTTTCTGCCCAATTACAAAATGCCACTCAAACCCATGAAGAAGCAGGAAGAAGAAGGCCAGGATGACACCCTGTGCCCTCCACCTTGCTTCCATCCAAAACATGCTAAAAATCCCAAAACCTAAATTTCTCACCAAGATACACCTACACTACTCTCTATGATCTATTTCCACAACGCACTAAAAATCCCAAAACCTAAATTTTTCACCAAGTGATACCCCTACACTGCTCTCTATAATCTATTTCACTCTTTTGTGGATTCTAGTCTATCTTGAACTCTAGGAAGCTTTCTCCATGAATGAGGGTCAAAGTCAGTGCTGCCCTGAGGGTCAGGACACGCCAGAGCAGACAGGGAAATATTCCCTGTGCCCTGGGCTTCCATAGCTTTCTAATAAAATGATAGAATGAATAAAATCAGCATCACTCAATCACTAGACTATGACTTTAACAGAGGCCATTTTATCAAAATCCCTTGTTTTTTTTGGTCATTTCACAAAAGGAATTGTCTTTGCAGGTACAACCAGTTGTGTTGTCTTTGCAGGTACAGTCAGTTGTATTCTCTTTGCAGGTACAACCAGTTGCTGAAACAGAAAGTGCAGCTGGAAGAGCTGGAGAAGGTTCTCAAGACAGAGCAGGACAAAATGCTGCAGCAAAGTGAGAAACATGAAACTGTGGCAGCAGAATATAAAAAGCTTCGGGATGAAAATGAAAGGTAAAGAGAATTCTGGCACCTGAGCACACAGCCTAAACAAGGGTGGTGTTCTTCGCATTTCTTCAACACCTAATGCTGCTATTTCAAATATTCATGATTCCACAAAAATAATCATTATATCCTGAGGGGACATGTGGGACAAAGGGGCATGGCAGGGCCCAGAAGGGACAAAGGGAGCCCAGGAAATGTGTAACCTCCATGGCTGCCAAAGTTTGGGCCATTCCTGTTCTGTGTTGGCAGGAAATCCTGGCTGTTTTGTGGGATTCTTTTATTCTGAGAAGTGACATCTTAAAACCAGCTGTGACATAGAGATGCTGCTTTGTATTTAAACACACAGAGAGCAGTGCTTGGCTCAAAGGCAGAACGAGGAAAATGAGGCTGGGACAGCTTACAGTATGTGACAGCAAAGAATTTGTGTGTATATTTTATGGAGTAGTTGGAAATGTCATGTTTCAGAGGGAGTGTGGGTAACAAATTCATTTCCAGCGCTCTCTGATGGTGTCTTTGCATCCCAGGCTCTCTCACACATACACTCAGCTCCTGAGGGAGAATGAGGTGCTGCAGACTGACCACAAGAATCTGAAAACATTGTTGAACAGTTCCAAACTGGAGCAAACACGGTTGGAAGCTGAGTTTTCCAAACTCAAAGAACAGTACCAGCAACTGGATATTACATCAACAAAGCTGAATAATCAGTGTGAGGTATGTGGGAATTGTGTTGTTTGTAATAGCTGGAATCACTGGAATATTTTTATAACTGTATTTATGGGTTCCTAAAATCATATGGAGTTCTGGAGTATCAGTCATTTATAGATAATGAAGTGGATCCAAAGACTAATTAATTTGCCTGCTGTACAGGCAATACACAATCTTAGGCTCATATTAGGGGAACTGCTTTAAATTATTTAAAGCATCAAAGAGGCTTTTATCAGTTGCTTTGTGATTTCATTTTGAGTTTGATTTAAGAACCCCTGCGTAGACTTAAATTTACTTGATAATCTCATTATCTGTGTATAAAATACACTCACACATAAATGCATGGGCAATTTCCTCTGTTTTAACAGCTGCTCAGCCAACTGAAAGGAAACCTGGAGGAGGAAAACAGACACCTGCTGGATCAAATCCAGACCTTAATGCTGCAGAACAGAACATTACTGGAGCAGAACATGGAAAGCAAGGATCTGTTCCATGTAGAGCAAAGGCAGTACATGTGAGTTGTGAAAACAAGAAAGTCACTGTGATAAGGGCAGTGACACCAATACCTGCATTTTTCTAAAAAAGTTTCTGTTAAATGCAGAATTTAAGACATGTGATGCTTCTGAAATGTTTCTCTTTAAAATAAGAATTTCAATGATAAATGTAAAACAGATAACTCAGAATATCAACATTATATTTGTAGTGCTGAAGGATCAGTGCAACTGTGTTCATTACTGATGATGGAAATAAGGAATAAAACTGATATGTATTTCTCATTCTGCTACTGGCAAAGTTTAGATTTGTAATCACTGTCTTTGTAGATTGATAATATTCATACATGAGTCTGTATACATTGTAGATTAATTTTCAGATTTGTAGTCTAAACCTTAATGGACTTGAGAGAAGAGAAAATGTGCTTATCTAAATGATAGAGCACTTTATTTAAAAAAGGAGGAATGTGTAAAAAAGGCAAATGGAATTTGATTCCATTTTATATAATGAAGTTAAGCCTAAGGCTGATTGTTTGTGGTATCTCTTGCTTTTTCAATAAGAACCAGGGGTTATGTGAGAATTCCACACAAAAGGTGGCAATTGTCAGATAACAGACTCCCTGAGGAATGTGCTGCCCACGCATCCTGTGTATGTTTTTGAAGCATAAATTATCATTAATTTCTGTTTGCAGTGACAAACTAAACGAATTGAGGCGGCAGAAGGAGAAACTGGAGGAGAAGATAATGGATCAGTATAAATTCTATGAGCCATCTCCACCAAGAAGGTACTGCTGAACAAACATGGTGTAAAATAAACCAGCTCTAAAGCATGGCAGGCCTGTTCTGTTCCCACTGAAAACTGAGATTCCATTGCATTCATGGGAGCAGGATCACGTCTGCCTTGCACAGAAATCAGTTGGCTCTGCAGGCCTAGGCAGTGTGGTGTAAATGCAGTGGCTGTGCTGTGGTTTTGCTGGCAGAAGGGGCAACTGGATCACGCTGAAGATGAGGAAGCTGATCAAGTCCAAGAAGGACGGGAACCGCGAGCGCCTCAAGTCGGTGACGCTGACGCCCACGCGCTCCGAGTCCAGCGAGGGATTCCTGCAGCTGCCCCACCAGGACAGCCAGGACAGCTCCTCCGTGGGCTCCAACTCCCTGGAGGATGGGCAGACCCTGGGCACCAAAAAGAGTAGCAGTGAGTACTGCAGACCGCTTCGGTCGCTGAATAAACCTTGGCTAAATGGTGGAAACGGCTGCGTGTTGTGGAGGGTTTGTAAAGATCGTTTCTGTGTCTGTAGGAATGAAGCCTGAATTTATTTATTAAGGGCAGAACTTCTTGCACACTCCCCGAAGTGTTTGAGCAGAGCTAGTTTTGAGCATTTCTGTATCTCAAAATGCAAGTGTTAAAGTACGCTCGCAGTGCCTGGGTGAGATGAAGCAGGTGCTGGGACTGGGTCAGGCGAGCAGGATTTGGGATAGAATGTCAGGTGTCACCACAAGGACCCTTTTTGTTTCTCCCTCTTGTCCCAGCATGACTCCTTCCCCTTGTCTTGGAAGTGTTTTCCAAGCTGTGGCTGTGCTAAAACATCCTTGAGTTGCTAAAAACACCTTCTGTCTGAAGGTGTTCCCCCAGCAAAAAACCAACTGTGAAATTTGGGGTTTTCTCACAAAGCCAACAGTGAAATTTGGATATACAACAGGGAGTGTTAATGTAGAAACACAGCCTGTTAAAAACACAGGAATTGTTACTGGTCCTGAAATTGGAGTGAAGTGGTTGAGAGAGAGAATGAGGACCTACAGGAGTGTGATTAGATGGAATATTCCAGATTTGCTGACCTTGAAAGATTTGATAGCCATCCCATTAGAGTGCCTCCATTAGGATATATAAGGCCAGATTCTGTTTATTATTATTTATTATCTGTGTCTTTTGTTCTTCACTTTTGGCATGAATCATAAACTGCCCAGTTTCTCACAACTTGAGAGGTAGTTACAGCCAAGTTATCAGGATGTAATGGTTCTGCTTAATAGCTGTGCACCAAAAGCATTTTGGCTGTGCATGTAAAAGCATCAGAATCCATGTGCATTAACAGTCACTTCCAGTGTTTGCACTACTACTTTTAAATTTCATGTATTGGGTTTCAAAAGACAGCAGGTCTGGGGTTTGTGCCAGCTGTGAATTATTACAGCCATTAGGATGTGGTTTTTTTTCCTTCTGTGCTTCTTGCAGAAGCTTAGTCAAAGTTTAAAGCATCCTAAAAAATGCTATTTCAGGAAAAGTTAAAATCAAATCTGTATTTTTTAATAACTGAAGAAGATAGTTCAAGGGTACATTTTAGCACATTTGTTACTAACTTACCCCTTTGGGGAGCTCAGCCTTTTTCAGTGTAAGCATCAAACCAGGTACTTTTAAACTTTTTTTCTAAAAAGCAACTGTTGCTTTTACATCCAAACCGTGAGTGGTGTGGAACTGGGGAGTGACTGGAGCTGTCGTGGCCGTGTGTCAGTGGGAGCTGGGGGTGTGCACGCTGTGGTTCAGCCCATCTGCATCTGTGTCAGCACTGTCATGTTCTGGAAGGGCTGTTCTGTGACAGTTTTCTTTGCATGATCCTTGGGACCTTGTAGTGTGCAGTTACCCTGCTGGGGAGCCACGGCTGCGCTTGCGGTGCCTGAGCCTCAAAAGGGGTTTGGAGCTGTTCAGACCTCATTAATTTTCTACTCCATGGACCTTGCTCATGTTCCCCTTAATCCCAGTGTGTTTATCCACAAACTGGAAGGGCTGATCTAATTCCGGATCCTGACCTTCCTCCATTACACATGTCGCCATGGAAACCAGAGTTTTGGAGAGAATTCGGATGCATTTTGTGCCAGCTCAGCTCTGAGGCAGAGATCTGAGACAATTTGTGCCTCACAAAGCAGAGAGAATCTCTCAGTGTGACCATGCTGGTGATGGTGCACATTTTGCAGTCTTCTTCTTCTGCTCCTAGAGTGACTGTAAGTCCTGAATCCTGGAATTTGGGTCCTTTCTTTTCCATGGGAAGCAGTTTGGCAGTGGCAGCTTCCGCTGCAGGAGCTACAGGAGGGAGCAAACGTGTGAGTGCAGTGCTCAGGTGCTGGAGCTCCCTGTGCTGGCTGAGGGCAGCTCTGGCTCTGGAGGAGCTCTGTGCCTCCCTGACCTCCAGCAGCTGGCAAGGAGCTGGTTCCAGTGGGGTGAAATGTCCTGAGTGCCCTTGAGGAGCTCACCTTGCCTGGCACAAACCAGCAATGTTTGAGCTGCAGGACTGAGGATCAGACACAGAGATCTCCAGGACACGCAGGGCTCACACCCCCATTCCCTGTCAGAGATACTGATTTCTGAAGTGTTTGCTGTGTGTGACATCTGTAGTTTTTTTCCTCTTTTGTGGGTGCTGATGGAGATTGTGTTTTTCCACCACAGGCCACTTTCTCATGCAAATGTTTCCAGGTGAGCTGGTATCTCCCTGGGAAAGGTGCTCTTGGCACAAAAATCAGGTGACCCTGTTCTCAGAGAACACCACCTGAGGTGCCACAGCGTGGCCAGGGCCTGTGTCTGATCCCTGTGGGAAGGAGGGGGTGCCTGGAGGGCTTTTGCTGTCCCAGCACAGGTTAGTCCTGCAGGAAGGGTGTGCTCCTGACTGCAGGGCTTCACCTTGGCTTTTCATGGCTCCTTGTTCCCAGGAACTGCCCACAAATTCCCATTGACACCCTCAGGATCAGGTGAGTGCTGTGGACCTGACGCTGTGCAGGGCTTTTCCTCTGGATGGGGCTGTTTGAGCTTTTCCAGACAAATCCCAAGGCAGGCAGAGGGGATCCTTGTTTTCTGTGGAGAAGTACAGATATGCTTTACTGGCTTCTACTTTAGCCATTCCATGAAATTAATAAGTTGCCAAGGAATTAGGGCTGTTAGTAAACTGTCATCTCTACTAGAACACCAGTAGCAGGTATGCCATGTCACAGAGGAATAAAAGGAATGTTCTGGGCTCCCAATACAGAGCCATTTTGAAGATTTTTGCATCATATTTTCTTCTGTGCATGAACCAAAACAAGTCAAGATTTTAGTATAGAATTCCCCAGAGGATTTCAGGCAAGCAGGAGAGTTATAAAATGCAATGTTTCCTGCTCACTTGAGGAACTCTGCAACACTCATCACTCATTCTCAGCTCAGAAAGCAAGAAGGTGTTCATGGAATACTAAAAAGAACAGTTGATTTCTGCTGTAGCTCTGCCATCCCAGGGTTAATTATTAGTATTTCTATTCCAGGACATGTTCTGAGGTGAATTCTGTGCAGATATTACTGACACAGTTTCCCCTCCAAGCATTTTGCCTGTAGATGCAGGGTTTGCAGGACATCAGTGGTTGCAGGGGAGTTTCCTGGTGGGCACAGAGAGCCATAAATCAGCCCTGTTGGAGGGGATCTGTGTTAATGGACAGGAAGGACAGATGGCTGAAACTGCTCTTGAGCAGCCTCTGATTACTTTTTAATAAAATTAAGGAGTTTTTAGTGAAGAGGAGTCAGTTATCTTCCATAAAGGATGACAGAGGGATGAGTTATTTTGTCTGTGAAGGATTACAGAAGTTACAGAGGAATTCTTTTTCTCCTGTGTTGGTTGTCTTGATGACAAAGAGAGGGAGCAGAATGACCTCTGTGGTTGGACTGGTTTGTGAGCCTGTTCCTGTGGGTGCAGGCTTGGGAAGAGCTGGTGGAGAGGCAGGAACAGGGGATGTTTCAGTGCCAGGGTAGCTCATGTGCACTTGTAAATGTATCTATGATATATATGCACTGCTCTGTAGGCAGAACTGCTGTGTGCCGGGCTGGGGGAGCAGGGCACCCCTCCCAAAAGGGGCTGCAGACACAGAGCAGGCACAGCCTGGTCTGGCAGACCTTGCAGAAAGCAGAGCTGCTGCCATCTCTGCAGAAATCACCACTTTGGGCAATCCCATCCCCTGTCCCCTTCTGGATCTTTCCATGGTGCCTCCTGGGCCTGGCATCAGCCCCCAGACTGACCCCAGGCAGGGCAGCAGTTCCTAATGCAGAGTTCCTGACTCCAAGGACAAGATTAACTCGTGACTTCCCCCTCCTCCCTCTTTTAATACTATTTGTAATTTTAACTCTGTAATTCTCCTGGTAGAATTTAACTCGGTTTTCCTTGGGCCCTCCCAAAACGTTACAGCAACACTCACATTTGGATTTTCTTTTGCTGTTTTGGGTTTTTTTTTTTCCTTTGGTGTTTTTTCAGCTAAAATACTTGCACATTTGAAGCAGATTGATTTTAGTGTTTTACCAAAATACTGCCCACAAATTATATTGATCAGAAGGCCCTTGCAGGTTTTCTATGAGACAGTAGATGACCAAAGTTATTACTGAGCACAGAATGGAAGAACTGAAGACTGATAATAGACTGTGTCCTCTTAGATTTGCAGGCAAAGCATTACAGAACTTATTAACCCCCAAAAATAATAACAATGTGAACATATTTTAACATAGAAATTGTACTTAGAGTTGCTTTCATTTTCAGCTTTTTTTGCTTCACATTTTTCTTTATGTTCAAAAAAAAAATGCTGTTTTTCACAGTAAAGATTACATAGTGGTCAATTCCTGTAATCACCTGCAAAGAAGTTACATTTATTTTTTCAAGAGCTTCAAACTGTATTATCCTCTGCACTGTAATTTTCAGTGCATTTCTGAGTGATCTATGGAAGTTTTCTTGTTTCAGTGTACTTTCATATTTCATTATCACCCAGAAGCAGGAGAATGATAGCTTTTAGCATAGCATACCTAGCTTAAACTCAGACATTCATTTCTGTCCTTAGTTTCAACATTTAACTTCCATCTGTTCTTCTCCCTTTTTTTCTTTCATTTCCCTGTTTCCGTTTTTCCTCATGCTATGACATAAAAGTGGGTGCACTGAAAAGACTGCCCTTTTTGAGGAACAGACCGAAGGAAAAAGACAAAATGAAGGCCTTCTACCGTCGCTCCATGTGTAAGACTTTATGACAGTTCAGCTTCTTCTCAATGGCTACACTGGCTTCCGTTACTAATTTTTCACTAACCTCTCCCTGGACTGCGCTCTGTTTTTCCTCCTCTTTTGCAATGTGCAAGTCCTGCTACAGTACAAGGAGCTGGAGCTTTTTCTTTTTACTTTTTCTCCCCCCCTCCCTTTTTTTTTTTTTTTTTAAACAACTTTGGCACTGAATACTTTATGTGTGTGCAGCTGTGCACACACACGTAGCCATGCACATGCATATAATCTATTCAGTGCCTTGTGACTGCATATATTTGTATACATAGCTGTCTATATACACATGGCCCCATGTGTATATGAATTTACAGTGCACTGTGTTAACGGAAATACTTTGAAATGACACGTTTCATAAGCCTTTTGTTCAGAAGTCACTGTAATTTTATTTTTTTTTGTTTAAAGCAAGTGTAGGAGATTGTGCAAGGCTCTCTGGTGGTCTGTCACTCTGCGAGCTCGTTCATCAGTTCTCGTTGCCAGAATGCTGCATTGATTTCTTTTGTTTCGTTTTGTTTTCTAATGAGGGGTGGACAGTTTTCTCGAGTTTGGGGAAGTAAAGGTGAATATCATCAGCTGTGGTATTTTTCAGATCCTCTCTGTGTTGCTCTGTAAACCCCAGTGTGCCTGCAGTAACCTGCACTGTACAAGGATCCCGCGGCAGCGCCGGCACTCCGTTGGCTGAGCACCCGTGCCCGTTTTGTCCCCGCTCATCCATCCCATTTTCTCACGGCAAGCGGCTGGCAGAGCCTCTAACAGCACCTGGCGCATGGCGATCCCTGCCACCCCCGTTTTGGGCCCCTCCCCGGGCTCAGGAGCCCCGATCCCCTCCCTCCCTGCCTCCCGCCGAGCCTGTTGCATGCGGTACCCGGGGTGTGGTTTGCTCTGCCGCCTGCTGCTGCTGCTGCTGCGGGCGCTTTAATGCTTAGAAAACTGTCCGACCTTTGCAATGCAAATTAACAACCCCAGCGGGTACGGTGCCCACGCTGATCATTTGCTTTCATTTGCATCCCAGCCATGAATGACCTGGTGCAGTCCATGGTCCTGGCAGGAGGACAATGGACAGGTAGTTCTGAGCATCTGGAGGGTCCTGATGATATATCCACGGGTAAAAGGAGGAAGGAATTGGGAGCTATGGCCTTCTCTACTACAGCTATCAACTTTGCCACTGTCAACTCCTCCACAGGCTTCAGATCCAAGCAGTTGCTAAATAATAAAGGTATAGGTAGAAGCTTTTTGCACCCTGATGTAATTATGTAAATATTGGTTTGAGTTAATGTTTTAAGTTTTCCAATCTTAATGATCGAGTTGCAGTGCTAAGATAATGGACTGGTTTAATAACTGCAGTCATAAAATGTTTCTAGGTTTTTCCTATAGAATGTTTCCTAAGTAAAAATTGATTGCATTGAAAAATACTTTAATTTTTTCTGTTTTACCAATGATAAGTATTTTAATAATCTTTCCACTTTATTTTATTTTACATCTTCCTTTATGTCTCTGTGTGTAGATACTACATCCTTTGAAGATGTAAGTCCACAAGGTATTAGTGATGATTCTAGTACAGGATCAAGAGTTCATGGTAAGATGTGAGCTTTCATTAAATGAATTAAGGATCTATGATGTGAATGTTAATGAATTTGTGAAAATACAGTGAATGGCATCATTGCAATGAGCATGCTCTCTCTGATTTTCATATCTCTCTAATGTATCATTTCTTCAGATTCTCCTTTCTCTCTCTAACTACTACATCAGACAGATGTTCTGTATCTCTGGTAGAAAGTATTTGTGAAGTGCATCTGAACAGGATCAAAACATTTTCCCTTTTAGTGGGAAAATGTTTTCACTTCCATTTTAAGTTGATAGTAAATAAAGGAAGTTAGCATTTCAATCTTAAAAAATCAAGTCCTAATCTGGCCTTTCAATGTTTAGTTTTCAGTGAATCCCAAATTTGCCATGTACTGTAGTTTATAAAATCATTATGTGTTCCTTCAAGCAAAGCTTTGAAGTGAAAAATAGGCTATTAATAGAAGTGGAGCTTTAACTGTACTGTAAACATTTACAAGGAGTACGAGCAGCAGACGTTTTGGAGGCTACTAACAGTGCATTTCCCTTGTATTGGCTTAGGAGTACAGGACTTTATCTGTGCAGATGCTCTTGCTCCTCCTGTGCGTGGCCTCCCAGCCCTGTGCAGGGTTCCCTGTCAGATCTGTTGTAAGTGCCCTGACCACAGCAGCCCCTGCATGCCCCCGTGTGAGCCCTGCTTCCCCTCTCAGTTCCGATTCTAAACTGGACTCTTTCTCTTTTCCTCTCCTCTGTACCTCGCTATTCCTGTAGTGCCCTTTTCCAAAGTGTCCTCTTGGACCGCCTGGAAATTCCTTCGCTTTCTGATCTGTAAGAAACCACTTTGTTCCCATGGGCATGCTCAGCCTGGGAGGTCGTGCATGATCCTCTGAGCATTCTGGCAGCAGAATGTGAAGGTGCAGTGTCCTCTGCTAAAATGTTGTTCATCATGGTGTCTCCTAATTTTCCATTCAGCTTCCAGACCAGCCAGCCTTGATAGTGGCAGAACATCCACTAGCAATAGCAATAACAATGCTTCACTCCATGAAGTCAAAGGTATGCTGGGGGTGAATTCACATCCGTGCTTCATTTCCATTCTTTTCTCTCTAAGATCATCTGTAGAGGTTCAAACACCTCCCACTGCACAGCACAGCCTGTGCTTCCTCGAGTGTTTCACAGCCTTCTTTCCCCAGATTAGAAGCACAGGGTTTTTATGGTTTTAGTAAATATTACAAAGGTGGTGTTAGTTTTTAAGTTACCAACTGTTTTAAATCAAACCTAACCTGGATAGCATTGTTATAATAAGAAAAATAAGAATTCCCCCCCAAAGTACTTTAAAAGCTTTTTAAGCTGAGAAGTTGCTCCTTTTTTTTTTTACTCCAAGCATCCTCCTGCACTGCACTGCTGCTGTGAGCTGTGTGCTGTACAACTGCACAAAACAGCACATGTGATTCATGCTAGAAGCCTTTATATTTGGGTTTTAATAAATTGTTATTATTCCTGGTTTTATCAGTATTCTCTAAATTTCATGTATTAAGACCCCGATGTTTTTTTGTATCTCGTGGCTTTTTTAGCTGGAGACTGTTGTGCAGACTAGACTAGGGCACTGCCAGCTCAAGATTTCATTTAATATTCATGGCTTGCATCTCTTAAATGGTGTCTGTTTGTCTGGAAATTTAGGAATGAATGCTAGCTGAATATTTCTAATAGTTTATTTTATATCTGTTCAATTGCTCCCTTCTGTAAAAGATCCCTTGAGATCCTCCTTGCCCCAGTGTCTGTATAGGTTTAGGCATTTCCACTGGAAACAATTTATCTTGGTTCAAACTTCATTTCATTTCTTAGGAGTGACATGAAGCTGAAAATACTTGATTATCCATCAGTATTTTTTTAAGCAATTCATAGTTCCTGACAAATAAAATGAACTGGTGTTGTGGAATTTATTTTGTATCTAACACCATGTGCTTCCTGCAGGTGCCAGTTGTAACAAACTAGGAGTAACAGCAGGAATTATTGGAGAAGCAGCATTCCTGAGTAGTTCTTGTTGGAGAAAATATTTTATTTCCATTCAGTCCTTTGTGTTTCCTTTGACATTTAATTACCCTGTGCCTCTCAGTGATGCTGAATAAGAGTGGAGATGTCTCTTTAACCTGTTGGAATATGTTATTATGTAGGTGGAGGCCCAGATTATAAGTGAAAGGTAGTTTTTATTTAAAAAAAAATCATGCCATGTCTGAAGAGCTGCAAAAGGTAAGTCAAGGAGTCAAGGGAGTGTAATTTTACAGAGTAAAAAATAACAACTGGGCTTTTTTTAGTCTTTTAAATAGAATGAATGCTAACTGAAGCTGGTAACATTCCAGGTTTCAGTGGGGTTATACAGGTTTACAGCTCCGTGGTGTGTTCCTGATGGAAATACCTCCTGCCTTCCCCAAAGCAGGTGCAGTGCCCAGCCAGAGCAGGCCCCAGAGCCACAGCAGTGGGGAGTTCAGCCTGCTCCAGGAGCACGAGGCCTGGTCCAGCAGCAGCAGCAGCCCCATCCAGTACCTGAAGGGCCACACCAGGTCCAGCCCCGTGCTGCAGCACAGGACACCCGAGAGCCACAGCAAAGCCCCCAAAACGGGCTCCCCTGGCAGTGAAGTGGTCACCCTGCAGCAGTTCCTGGAGGAGAGCAACAAGAGTAACTCCAGTGAGGTCAGTGGGAGAGGATTTACCTGCACAGAGCCCTGTCTGGGGGCTCAGAGTTAATGCAAGGCACAGTGAGTAGAAGTCCTAGAAGATTTCTTGGAGCTGTGGGTCACACCTGCACTGAGAGGTGTGACAGACCCACAGGCACTGTCTGATTTCTCCAGCAGGAAATGTGTGGAGTATTGCAGTTTGACCCTCTGTGGTCCCTGGGTTGGGTAGGAAGGTCAGCCTGTACTGACAGAGATGTGCAGAGTGGATTCACTCTTCTTCCTCCAGTCCAGCAGCAGCTGCTGTCACATCTGTCCTGTGTCAAGCACAAGGAAGATGTTTGACTTCATTCCCTGAGGAGACTCCTGTCTGCTGCAGTTTCATCTTCTTAACAGTACTGGGAAACCAAAAGTGACCTTGGAGCTCACTGAAATCTGACAGGAGTAAGATGAAGGGAATGTTTTTGTGAATCAGTGACAGTTTCTAAGAAGCCTCAAATCACCTCATCTCTGCTGGAATTCCAGGTTCTGCATCCCTGGTTCTTGAGCAGATCTGCCCAAACTCCTGTAGGATATGCTGTAGGATAAACCCAGCCAGTCACTGTGACTGGGGCCTCTCAGAGGTGTGGATCCAGGGTTGTCTGGGGCAGGTGACGCAGATCTGGAGAAGATTCTGCATTTTTTGGTTAGATACTTAACGTGGCTCTCACTTGTGGTCTCCCTGAGAAGGATTTTTGGGTTTTAAGCATTAGACAATGCTCTTCTGGCAATATGAAATAAAAAACCCACCTAAGTCATCAAGCCAGGTCTGCTGCTGTTCACCAATCCCAGAGCTCCTTTCATAGCCTCACAGAGCCATTCTGGGTGGAAGGGTTTCAAGCTTTCCAGTCTTCTGCCAGAGCATTTCCCTAATTCCTTTAGCTTAATTCTTCCCCAGTTGTCTCTGGTACCATTTTGAAAACAACTGCAGTCTTTCTTCACTGAGTCTGAATATTATTCACCTAAACTCTTTTTTTGTAAACTGCGCAGAAGATGCCTAAGTATGTATCATGTTTAATGTTTATTATATGTTTATGTTTAATGTTTAGTATGTATCATGTTTAATATGTTTAAAATGTGTAATACTGCTTTTAGAGATGAGAAATTAAAAAAAACCCAAATCTTTGTAGAATTGTTCACTTATGTCCACAAAAATTGCTTAAGAAAAGGTAAAAATTGCAGTTTAGAAACTTACATTTTCTGTTTTTACAGATGAAGTCTGCAAGTGAGGAGAACCTTTTAGATGAAGTGATGAGGAGCTTGTCCGAGTCTGCGGAGCTGGCAGGGAGGGAGAAGCTGCGGAAGCAGCCGGCAGCTGGCTGTGGGATCGTGAGATCCCTGAGTGTCAGAACCACGGGGGATTTCTCAGACGGACGATCCCTCAAAGCAGAGCAGCTGGTGAGGCCCGGCCTCAGGAAGGCTGAGGATCTCTACTTCAGCAGCTCTCCCATCAAATTCAGCTCCGGCGCCCAGGGGAAGCCCCGCTCCGTGAAGGAAAAGATCCAAGCGACGGTGACCCAGCGACAATCCAGGGACTGCAACCCCTACGCCACCTTACCTCGTGCCAGCAGCGTCATTTCCACGGCAGAAGGCAGCACCCGAAGGACAAGCATCCATGATTTCTTGTCTAAGGACAGTAGGCCGCCCGTGCCCGTGGATGCGGCCCCGGCCCCGGCCGACAGGAGTGCTCCGCCCGGCTCCAGTGAGTACTCGGCTCTGCGGGTGTCCTCTCCCTGTGTTCCCGGTGGGCCTGCCCGGGGGGAGCGCGGCCCGCAGGGAGAGGCGGCTCCCCCGCTCGCAGCGCGCCCTGTAGGAGGTAACCCTGAGCCGGCCAAGCCTTCCAGGATGGAAAGGCCAGGCGGTCGAGAGAGGACTTTGCCGAGCGCGGGCGCGTTCTGGGATAGAGCCAGCGGGGCTGGGAGTGGCAGTGCAGGCTCCTTCGCTGCGCCCCAGCCCTTCCTGTCCCTCAACACCGAGTTAGTCAGCAATATCAGTGGGTTGCCCCCGAGATCCACCTCCAAGGCAGCTGAGCAGGCAAACGTGTCAGCGTTCAGGTCAGTGCTGAGGAGCCAGGAGCAGCCTTGTGCTGCTCCAAAGGCCCAGGGTGAGCCACGGGCAGCTCTGACCGGGGACCCTGTCCCTGCCCCCGGCCCCGGCCAGGCCCAGTCCCCACTGCTGGTCTCAGAAGATAACCAGACCCTGTGGTATGAGTATGGCTGTGTATGAAGGAAAGCTGTATTATTAAATATTTATGTCTAACATGCCATAAAGGTATTCTCCATGTCCACTGGATGACAGAGGAAACTTCCCTCCAATGAAGGAATCATTGCTGTTTATCCGCGGGGTGGTTGTTCCCTGTGGACTCTGTGGCATGTTTGAATGTGGAATTGTAACCCCACCAAAGCCTGCATGAACCATTAATTGCACTGTGTATATTTTGCATGCCTTTATAATACAAGCTCTATTTTTATTTGTCGTGCATTGCAAATATTTTGGTGTTTTCCTGTTGGTTACTGCTGCATGTTAAAGCGAGCGCATGCCCGGGACGGCGCAGGGAGCAGCATTCCTGGGACAAGGACAGCACTGGCAGGGGAGCTCGAGCTCTCAGTAATACACTGAATATCTACCTAGAGGGAAAAAACCCTTTGTTTTCTTCTTTCAAAAATGGGGTATTAATGGAAAGAAGCATTTGGAGATATCTCAATGTCTTCTTAGCCTTTTCATTTATGCTGTGTCATGGCATAAATGCACGAGGAACAAGTGCCCGGTAATCTAAGTAATTCAGTGCCTCTAGTTTGCACAGTAAATATTAATTACTGTCCATACTGAGTAATAAACACACAGACCATTCATAATCCTGAACAGAAATGAGAATTCTTACAAAGAGGTGATAAATAGTTGTATGATACACAGCACTTGTCATGAAAAAATGACCTTTTCCACCTTTTCCCCTTGGTCTGCGTTGTCTTTCCAGTCGTGGGTACAGTTGTGGTGAAGTGTTTGGTTTTTTCAGGGGTCAAATAACAGGCTCCTTGTGATGCATAGGAATAAAAAACTGTCTTGAGTATGGTGGAAATTCATTTTTTCTTGTCAATGGAAGTACCACTGATGTAATAGAAAACAAATGGTGTAACAAAATAACAGAAAATGTTAAGTTAATACAGTTAAATAAAAGAAAAAATAACAAAGTTGCTTGCAAGGTTATGAGAGGATATGAATACTTCAGCAAAAAACTCCTTAAATTCCAGATGAGCAGCTGAAGAGAAATGTTGAAAAGTAATTAGTTAATGTGCCACTGGCTCTGCACGTGCTTGGAACTTCTCAATGGTAAATTCAAAGAGAGTTTAAAATTGTATCAGATTTGAGCTATAATTACACTAGGCTTTGGACATGAGCACTTCTTTGCAAGAGGACATTGGTTATGGCAGTTATAAAAAATTGGAATGACAGTATAGCTAGAGGAAAAATAATTAAAATTGAAAATATATATTGAAAACAAGTGTCACATTCTGTTTTGTACAATTGCATTTATTCTGCCAGCAGTTTTGTGGCAGTCACAGAACCACTGTGTGGGCTGAACTTTGAATTCCTTCGTGCTTAATTAGGGAGGGGCAGTGAATCCATAGCTCCCAAGGAAGAGCAGCAGATAGCCCATGTGGGAGTCTGGCAGGGCTCAGTTTTGTTTGGGATGGGAAGCCCTGCAGTTCAGGAGCAAGGGGAGGATTTTGAATGTGTGTGGAGAATAAAATGTTGGTTGGAGGATGTGGCACAGTCCTTCCCCAGGTCTGCACCACTTGTTGGTATTGGGCTGATAAATCTCTCATTCCCCCAGCACTGGGCACAGTCAGTTATTGCTGTGTTCCCTCTGGAGCTATCTCAGCAGCCAAATAATGAGAAATCTGAGCTGTATCATCTCAATTTCACACATGTTTACTCTCACAGAGCAAGAGAAGTGTTCTGGCCTTGGGTTTGACTTCTCTCCATGTGTATTTGTGTTGTGATTAGGTTGGAGGTGAGGAGCACCAGCATCCCAAGTGATGTGTGCACAAAGCGTTTTGCAGGTTGTTTAAAGAATCACAATCCTATAGAGCCCTTAATACAAACTCACCCTGAGCTGCCAGGCTCTGGCTTTTCTTCCTGTGCCCTGCAGAGCCACTGCTCATAATGAGTCTGTACCTGCTTTAGGTCAGCTCTGGCTGCAGAAACCTTGGGTGTGCTGTTGCCTCCTCCTCTTGCTTAGGTTCTTAGACAGTCACACCTACAAAAACTTCAGTATTGTCCTCAGCTTCCCTCTTAAACCCCAAGGGCCTTGGAATGGCCAGGCAGGAGTGTCCTGGAGCACCAGTGTCTGCAGTCTGCTGGAGCTGGAGACACTGACCTTGTCCAGCTCGAGGCACTCTGCTCTGATTTGTAAATTGGCAAGGAATTGCATTTCAGTTCTGAGGAGAATAACTTGTTTTGTTCCACTGAGTTCAGCAGCAGCAGAATGTTCTGCAAGAGAGTGTTTAATGGCTCTGAATAATCTCCTATCAACATTTGTTTGTTACATATGAAAAAAAAAAAAAGGTTGTCATGGACAAAAGGATGTTTTTTCTCCTTCACATTTTGGATGTTTGTGGATGTCTGTCTCTGTTCAAGTAGGGGAAGGTTCCATGGAATTCTTTCCATTCCCAATCCCTGCTGCTCCTCAGGGCCATGTGCATGGCAGGATGGAGCCCTTGCTCATTCCCTTTCCTGCTGCCTTGGGCAGTGCTGAGTTAGGGCTTTGCATGATACTGATAAACACTAAATATGTGGCTGCTGCCCAGAGAGGTTTTGTTGTTCAGCTCAGCCATTTGCTCACAGTTGAGGTTTGCCTGGCTCAGGGCTTGCTTGATGCTTTGCTTTCAGTGACTGGTGAGTTCAGATCTGCATTTTGCATGTTCAGGCTGTTGCATGCCAAGACAGTTTTGTGCTTTGTGGAGCTGAATGTGACGTTCCTGTCGGTGTGCAGCAGGTCAAAACACAGTGAAAGAAGTTCTCTGCCAGGGCCAGTCAGCTGTGATTGCACCTCATTATTGCTTTTTATCTCCATTGATGCAGAAATGTAGGGTTGGTGTAGCTAAAGGTGATGAGTATCTGACTGTGGCTTTAGGAATAACACCTGGCTGCTGTAAGTGCTGAGATGAATGGCAGTGAGTGCAGCTGAGCAGGCACTTGCAGTGAGTTTCTTCTGTCCCTCTCCTCTGTCCTTTCCTCCTAAAAACAACCAGGAAGTGTTCATGTATCCTTTTGCTCTCCTAATGAGTAGAATGTGTTTTAATGCATGAGGGGTTTTTTCATGTCCTGATAAACACAATGAATAACCTGAAATGCTTTTCTCTGCAGATGTGGAAGCTATCCCAGAAAGCAGAAATTCAAAAAGCAGGTCTAGGGAGCAACAAAGCTCCTAATTCTATTACCCACTACCTGAGCTGTGGGCCAAGTGGTGAGTTTCCTGCCCAACCTGTAAATGAGATGAATTTCATTTACAACAAACTAACAGCATTCCATCCCAGCCCCAGAGCACATTGCATTAACCAGATGTAAATCCTGCTTGCTTCCCTGGCTTCTCTCGCGCTCACCCGTTAGCCTGGGGCCTGTGGCTCTGCAGAGCTTCTTCCAGAGACAGGGAACCTCGTCCTGCTCAGCCTTTTGCCTGTAAAAATGACATTTAGCTTTAGCTTTCCAATCTCCTGAAGAAGAAAGTTCAAAGAAATCCCATTAAGAAGTAATACTGTAGTCAGTTTTTTAGACAGGGACAGGTAAATCTGAAGGAAGCGTTGAACAAAACTCAGAGTATTCAGTACCCCATGGAATCTGTCTTGTTATAAAGCTTGGTTTTGGTGTTCTGTCCTCTTCTCGACTTCCCTGAGCCCCTTTGGTGCATGCTGTTAGTGCTGTTAGTGACTGAACTCTGTGTGTTGTGCCTCTACACTTGAAGCTTTTTCTTACACTCTTTTCTCTTTCTGCCTTTCAACTGAACACAGAGAGAAAAGTGTCCTTCAGTATCTCAGTGTGAAGCCTTTATATCTGAAGTAACAAGACAGCGACTGTAGGAATCATTAATAAAAAAATTAAGGGAATTTTTTACATTCTTCGTGACTAGAGCAGGCAAGAAATAAAAACCTACCTACCTACCTTCCTTCCTTCCTTGAATCAAGGAGCTCTACTGGAGTCTACTGCCGAAAATGTGTAGATGGTCTTAGGAATTATTGCACATTGCACTGTTAAGATCTACTGAATAAAGGACAGTTCTCATCTCCCTAAGGACCGAGGATTTTAAGGTCTCAAGAATTACTCCAGGGGAAAAAATAAAAAAAAACAAAACAAAACAAAACTTCTTTCATCTTCTGTTTTTGAAATTAGCCACTGATTTGCTTAAGCTTCTGCTAATAATTAGCCAAACCCCCCCAAAGCTAGCAGTTTCTATTTACGTCTGTAAATCTAAAGGAAATGCTGTAGAATTTTGTTGAAATGGACTGTATATACAGATACAAAAACCTCACAGCTACTGGCACTTCACTGCCTTATTTGGTTAGCATAATCTGCATGAAATTGCTCTTAAGAAAGTTTATGCTGATTTTTGTTGCATACTGCAAGAGAAGAATTTGTTTACATCCATGGAAAAGCTTGGTAACTAACAGAAGTGGGAGTCATGGGATAATGGTATTATAGAGACATTGTTTGTCCTTTGTGTTTTTCACATTCCCCAGTTACTCTGCATATGTATGTTCAGATGTTTCTGACAGGAAATTGTCGGGTATGGTTTTTCTATAACTTTTATTTTAATACAAGGCTGTTTTCCACAAATGCCATTTCCAGAATAAGACTGTCTTACAATGTTTGTGTATTGACTAATTTTTTTTTTTCACTGTTTGTCTTTTGACATGAGCTGATTGTGGCTTAGGAGGTTTCTTGATGGCAAAAAGAAATGTAAATAATATCATATGCATTTTACAATCAGTTCCCTCTAAGGTTATCTTTTACTAGATACATTTTGTTCATTATTGATTTATATTAAAGTCAACAAACATTATTGGTACATTTGGTGGTCGCATATATTTGTCTGGAAAGATTTGCAGCGAGCTCAGAGGAAGATGATGGGAACTGAGACCCAAAACGAGTTGTTCTATTTTATTAAAGCCAGTAAGCACATTCCTGTTCCTCGTGTGAGGGGCTGAGTTCCCTGTGTCACCTCCGAGTGTCCAGCAGGAGGTGCACAATGTCACCTGCAGCTTCCTCAGAAGGTGAGCCCCCTGCTGAAGGCAGTTGAAAGCATTCAAAAGCTTGAAATCTTCTCAAAACGGGGAAAAAAAAGAGGCATGCACAATAAGCTTTAGAAGGAGAGATTTTCCGTTTGTTTTCTTGAAAATTAGTTTCTTCTGAAATTTTCTTTGGGATAAAATGGGCTAAAAGATCTGTACTGAGGGCATAGCGGGTATGACAGACAACTCAAAGGCCATAAAGATCAGGAAAATCTCTCTTCACTTGGAATGACTGAGTTCAAGCTCATTTCAGGACCTGGGTTCTCCTCACTCTCTGCTGACAGAGGACTGAGCATCTCAAACCCCCAGCCAGAGCCCTTTGTCACATTGCTGTTACAGAAAAATGCTCTTGACCCAGGAGGTGGAGACTGCAGTGCCAAATGGTGCCAGGGTCCCAGCTGGGTGCCTGTGTCTGGCACTGTCACTGCCATGACTCTGGCACACCCTGCTGTGTGTGGAGCCCTGCTGGGCAGTGTCAGTGCCCTCAGCCCAGCTGGACGTGCCCTTTCCCTCACACAGGGATCCTCCTGCTCCACTGGCCAGCTCAGCTCCTCTCAAGCTGCTTTGCTTTGCTTTGCCTTGGCACCGGAGCAGTCAGGTGGCTCTCTGTGCTCTGCCAGTTCCCCTTTCCTTCTTCCTTTCTTCACCTTCCCACTCTGTGCCCTTCAAGGGAAATACAAAAAACCAAATTTGCCCTGGGAGCAGCTTCAGTTCCTGCTGCTCCCAATGCCAGGGATGCACGTGGCAGCTTTGTACCCCAGGAATGCCAACCCCAGCACTGCCAGTTCCAGGTCACAGAGGAGGTTCTCATGCCATACAATGTGTGTGTTCTATTTGCTTTTCTGATAGTCTCTGAGGATTTAGTAACATTCCCAGCACCTATTGTTATTATCATTATTTCTAAATTTTGTCCGGGACATGATGCAGCCTAACAAAGGGAGCTCATGTGTGATTTTTAGGGGTAGCTGATGATGTATATGTAAATAATGCTTTGATATTAATAAAACTGCCTTAAAGGAATGTACCGAGGTGTGAATCAGAACTTAAAAAGCTCTTATTTAAAACTGTAATTTCCTTTACATATTGATTTTTTTAATGTTTGCCATTGTATACATTTATTAATGATGTTATTAAAATGCCAAACCAAATAATTTTTATTCTTATTTTGTGTGTGTATATTTATACACACTTTTTTTCTGGAAACTGATGTTACTGGAAGGGTATTGGTGTCGTGGTGATTGTGCAGTGAGTATTTCTTCTGGAAGGAAACTGATAAAACTGTAGCAGAATTTTTCTGGACCATGTGTAGTTTGTTCTGTGTGATTTGTGTAGAGCTGGGTAGCTTTTAACTGTACTCTATTTTGATACTATTAAAAAAAAAGAGACTGATTTCATAAGTAAATACAAAAAGAAATCATTCTAGATTAGCCAGGTGTAGTATTTGAAGCCTGGTAGTTATTTTTGCTGAGATGAGTCTCAGGATCCCTTCTGAGGATGAAGTTAGTCACACTTTAGGCAGTGCAGATTCCAGGATTGCGCACATCCTTCAAACAATTTGTCACATTTAAAACATTCCACATTTAAAAACCTTGGCAAGTCAAATCTAATATTCTTTTGTTTTTGAAGTGCTAAGGGATTTAGGGGTACCACAATAAATAAAACTTTAAGGGGGAGGGAGAGTGAATGGCAGGGAGAGAGGAAGATAAATATTAGATTTAAAGACACGTCCTAATGTATCAATGTGGAGCTAATTTAGTGGTGCATCTGTCAGTCCAGCTCATTCATCTGCCTAGTATTCCTAAATACCAGATGTTCCCTTCTGTAAAATCTCATGGATCTGGACATCTCTCTAGTGCTCTTCCTACAGCTGCAGCATTTTTGGTCACTTCTTTCCCACTGGACATGCCGCCAGGATAGATGGGGTTGGTTTGTGTCTGTCAGAGCTGGAGAACTGGAACTGCTGGATGGTGAAGGGTTCTGTCACTCAGAGCTCCAAGAAAGGTGCCAGATCCTTCCAGATGAATGAAACGTGGTAAGGCTGTGAGTGAAGGAACTTGCCTTACTGTATGTAGATGATGATTTTTCCTACTCAGTTAATAGTAATTGTTCATTCACCCAAGATCACAAATCCTTTTCCATGTTTTTCATTTGTGCTCCTGTAGTTTTGGTTTCAGTTCATGCTGATGCTCTTGCCCTGGAGGCTTTGTTTGTACTGACACTTTCCTTGGGCTGCATCCTAAAGCCTTCACCCTCATCACCCTCAGATTCCATCCCTCACTCACTGCTCCCCTGGCTTTGGCTTTGGGGGTGCTCATTGCCAGGGGATGTTTACTGCACTTGAGGGAATTTCTGCTGCTTCTGTCTTCAGCACACCGTGATTGATTGAAAAATGACAATCAAGTGCATTTCCTGTAGTATAGGTTTTTTAGGTAAAAAGAATAAAAAGAAAGCAATGTGTAGTAAGATATAAATGGGTGCAGGGACAGTCACTCTGTCCTGGGGGTACTGACAGGTCCTACAACTTGGAATTTGTTCTTTCCTTGTAATGTCAAGTTTGAACCTTCAAGGCCAGTCCCATGCCTGGGAAATTCTAGTTTTATCCATTTACTGATAAAGACTGTAGTAGTATTTAAATAATGCCTTTTCTACTTACTAGCTACTTAGTGGTAGATTGCAAAATGTCTTTTTAAGAACACTGTTAACCTGATAACTGAAAGGCAGTATTTTTTTCTCACCAGATTATATGCTACAAATTTACATAACTGAAACAAATGAAAAAGGAGTAAGCCATTTTTTTTAAAGTTTTATTTGTAATGAGATTTTTCACCAGTTTTGCTCTACAAAAATCTACGAGTAGCAGTAGAAAAATGAACTTCCTCTACTTAATGTCTTCATCGAAGTGTACGATGATGGGCTCGTGGCCTGTTGATCTCACAAACTTCAGGAAGTCGTCAGGGCTTAAGCCCATGGTTGCAGAATTTGTCATTGGATGGAAATAGACCTTTTCATGGCCCCCTTGGAGCAGGGCAGCGTCCAGCACCAGCCTCACATCTCCCTGGTCACAGAAGAGGGCGAGCGGCGTGGCACAGCCCTGACCCACTCGCAGCTTGTCCAGCATGGCGTTCTCGTCAGCAAACCTGAGGTTTCCGCTTCCAAGGCCCAGCTTTTTACCCAGTTCGTTCAGATTGACCTGCCTGTCATGCAGGACAGTCACCAGCCAGAACCCTTTCTTCTTTTTGTCTTTAAGAAACAGGTTTTTACTGTGAGCTCCTTTCATGTGTTGGACGTGGGGCATCATTTCCTCAACAGTGAACACCTGGAAATCGGCAGCAGTGCGGTGTCAGACTGTATCCCATTAGACTCCCAGTCGTGTGCTGGCAGGTATCTTTTGTTAAATATTTAGAAAATGCTGAATGTTCTACTCGGCCTAAAAGCTGTACCCTTTTATGAAGGAATTTTAACAGAACACGAATAAAATGTGACGAACTGCTCCGGCACACTTTCAGAATCGTTTCTGTCTCGTGTGTGCAGCAATGCCTCGCTCTAAAGGCAGCGCTGGGAGCGCTCCCGTTTGCGGCTCCACACACGTGGAATGACGTGGCTTGTAAATGGGAGCGAGCAGAAGTTTGGGAAGCATCTTGGATGCCGCCGACTTCAGGGAAAATAAATGGGCAAGCCGCCTCTCAGACTACGGGGGAAAGGGGGCGGATCTGGAGGCAGAGTCAAAGCGACTAAAAAACGTCCCCAGCCATTGTGCCAGGCCCTGCGAGAACTTCCTCACTGATACTTCTGCTAAAGCCGCGGGGGCAGAACCGCATCCCGCCCTGATACCGCTGTGCCCCGCTGTCAAGGCAGGGTTTATAGCCGGGTTTTCAGGAGGCTCCGTACCTGGGGGTGCTCGGCGGTGACGGTGGCGATGCCCAGGTCCCGCAGCCGCCGCTCCAGCGCCTCCCGCAGCTCGGCCGCCATCGCGCCCCGCCCGCCCCGCTCCGCCCCGCCCCCGGCCGCGCCCTGCCCCAAAGAACGGGCAAATCCATCAAAATTGAGCCCGTTTTTTAAGGAGCACCCCCCTGCAGATCAGAGCGTGGGTATAATATGTCCCCAACCCACCTGAGCCTCCCCTCCCGCACAGTTCAATACATTTCGTGTTCCTTAAAGCCATTTCCTTCCCAAACAGCGACATTAACGCATTGCTTCGGCACACACTGTATTTGGTTCAAGTGTTGGTTTCAAGCAGATATTTACCTTTTAATCCTTTTGTCCATGTTCTTACTCTAATTTCAGGTTATGGCTCCTTACGCACAGTTTTCCTGAAAACGCTGCTAGATAAGAAAGTTACGAAAAAAAACTAAAAAGAAAATCAAAATACATTATACACCCTATAAACAAAAATTGCATCATTTGTATTCTTTTAAATCAACCAATAATAATAATCAGGAATTGCAGCTAAGGGACAATGCCAAACATTAATGGCCACGCAGTTGGAAAATATTTCTACAATCCAAACCATAGCCCTGACATATGACATAAATAATTATTTGTTTCCAGTTTACCCTTCAGAAAAACGGGCAATCTGTAATAAGCTTTAAATTAAAACAGTATGACTCTGCAGTGAAGAGACATGGGTAAAATACGATCCCACACTAATTCCCAGAGCCTTACAGCAGTGTACAGGAAGATTTCCAGGCAGCATCCAGTGGAAGATCAACTCAAAAAGCAGATTTGCAGTAAATTCTGATGACTGTTTCACAGGCTAAATCTATCTTTGCATTAAACGCTTTTCAGGTCAGTCCCAAGGTGTGTTGGCCTCGTAGTGGCCCTTGCTTCCCAGCATGTCTTCTGTGCTAGAACACTGACTGCTTTTAATGTGCTTTTCACAACTTTTGGTATTTAATTTTTTTTTTATTGTGATCTATTTTTGAGAAATACACAGCTCAGATATGTGAAGGAAATTATGGTCATAACTCATCACACACAATTTGCAGTGTCCGGGCAAGGATCGCCACAGCATCAGGGCAGACCCCTGGGATTATCCCTGGGTTTTACAACCAGCATTAACCAGGTAACATTAAGGAAGGACTTTTCACATGTAGAGCTTCACCTTACATTTTTGCTTTCTCTACTCCATTATTTTAGAGACGCCAAATTAGAGAGGACGTAAAAATCAGGCTTTATATTGCGTGTGGATGGGGAGGGCTTTGCAGAGAGGAAGCTGCTGACTCCTGGCAGGGAGGAGTAAAACAGATTTAAGTGTGTAGATAAATAAATAGATGTTTTTAAAAATAAGTTTCAAAACCCCAGAATGGGCGTAAACTCAGAAAATCCATGTCCCGTGACGGGTCCGTGTCCCGCCTCCCCTGAGGGCATTTCCCGCCTCCCGTGAGGGGAGGCCCCGCCCCTGTCCGGGCAGCCCCAGCGTCGCATCTACGCCTGCGCAGTTCCCTCGCACCCCCTGGCGGCGCATGCGCAGAGAGCGGCGCGCCGAGCGTGAGGCACTGAGGGGACGCGGAGCATTTTCCTTTCCTTCCCTCGTTCCCTTCCCTCTTTTCCTCCCTCATTCCTTCCTTCACTCCGCGGGCTGTCAAGGCCGGCACCCAGGGGCTCGGAGAAAGGCGCTGCCCCCGCGGGGAGGTCGGGCTGCAGCTGACAGGTATTAACCAGGCAGAGCCATGGCAGGAGAGCAGCAGGAGCGGGAATGTCGCTGCTCCGCGCCGGGAGCCGGGAAGGGTTTTCCGCAGGCAGAGCCTGGCTGGGCTTCGCTGCTGAGAGCTTGGCCAGCGGGCCTTGACCTTGGGTTGTTCGTGTGTTTGTGTGGGCAGCGTCCTGTGGCAGCTCCGCGGCTCCCTCGGCTTTACAGATTCAGCCCCTTTGCGGTTCTCTTTAGGGTTAAAAACCCCCCCAAAACAGCTCGGTTTGGTTGGTTAAGTTTGTCATGTGCTCTCCTGCTGCAGGAGTCAGAGTGCAAGGAAGGTTTTAAAGGGCCCGCAGCCATTCTGGGAGGAAGGAGAGCGGTCCCTGCCTTTGGGAGGGTGACACAAGGACACCTGTGAGTGGGGACATGGAGGGAACAGAGAGTCCGTCCCCGAGCAGGACAGAATCACAGAATGCTTTGGGTTAGAAGGGACCTTAAAGACATCCTGTTCCACCCCCTGCCGTGGGCAGCGACACCTTCCACTGTCCCGGGGAGCCCCGTCCGAGCCGGCCTTGGGCACTTGCAGGGACGTGGCAGCCACAGCTTCCCTGGGAACCCTGTGCCAGTGCAGAACAGACAGCTCTGGGCAGCAGGAGGAGCTCAGGATGGTGTACAGGATAATTGGCAAAACGACTCAAACCAAAGTTAAGATGGTTAAAACAAGATATGGGATGATCTGAGAGAAGCTGAGCCAGGGCTTAGCCTCACTGGAGGTCTCTGAGCACACCTCAGCACTGGTGTCACTGCCGTGCTGTGGTCTTTCATGGTCTTTCGGTGGTGCTTTTGTCTTGAAATGCTCGGGAAAAGGGCATTTAGCAGCTGTGTTTTGCTGGCTTAGAGAGGTAGTTGACACTTGTGTAATCCTGTCAGTATAGCATGAGGAGTACAAATGTGGGGGTTTTGTAAGAGATGTCAAAGAACCTGCAGCGGGGAAATTAATGCTTTATATCAGAGATCGGTGGAGAAAGATGAAAGATCTGTAAGCTCTTGGTAGAGCCATGTGTCTGCCATAGAGAAGTGCAGAAGGAAATGGAAAAACTGGAATAGTTCCTAAACAGTTTAATTTTGTCACTGTTAAAAAGCCTGTTTGGAAACATAACATTTGTGCTTCATGTTCCTGTACATTTTGTCCTGAGAAGGAGGATCTTTGAGCCTCGAGGCTGACCTCAGTGTGTGCTTTGTGTTTGCAGTGGGGAAATGAACCAAGGGCTGCTGCTGAGGTTTGAAAATCTGGTGCAGCTCCGTGGTGCCTGCCAGCAGCTGCGTGCCCTGTCCTCCAGGAAGGTGTGTGGAGCACGATGGAAGCCTGTGGAGTTGTCTGCACATCCCCTGGGCTCCCTCCCTCTGCATCCACAGCTCTGGCCAGAACACAGATTAATCAGTGCTGCCTTACCACAGTGCAGGCATCTAGCCACAAAGGAGGTAATTAAGGACATCCAGCAATCCCTGGGTTTGTGTGGGAAGAGCTCAGTTTGAATATTTGAATTAAAAAAGGAAAAAAGCACTTTATTCATGAGTATAGAGACTTGTCATAAATCTATCTATGAGACAAAATTTACTTCCTGTATAATTTTTTGCCATTCCCTCTCAAATGTGACTTAGACCAGTAACATCATGAATTTTTGCTGACACTGGAGAAGAATATTGCAAACAAAAATGGAAATGGTTTTATTAGTTTTTGTCCTTGTCCTGAAAAACTAAAAATGCAAAACGATTAAGGGTAGTGTGCTATACATTTGAAATGTTCATTATGATGTGTTAACTCATTCATTAATTGTAATTAATTGGTGTTATAGTAAAGAAGATGCACGTACCTCATATGGCTTGAGACCATTGTCTTTTTAATATTGGTTTTGTTGTCTCTTAGTTTATATTCCTGTGTTTGTGTCTAATTCCATGCAGGAGACAAAAAAGAAGAAAAAGAAGATTCCCCTGACAAAAGGTGAAGTGGAGATAAGGCAGAGGATGACTGTGGAGGAACTGGCACAAGCTATGGGCAAAGACATAGGTGAGAGCCTGCTTTGGGGTCAGGAACAGCAGCATTTGTCACACCCCTTCCCCCTGTGACAAAGGAAAGGTGCCTTCAGTGACCTGAGTGGTTGTGGATCTATCCCAAAGGAAATGCTGGCAGACACAGTGCAGACTAAAGAGAAAAGATGTTGGGCCATCCAAATGTCCAGGCCAGCCATTTAAATGTGAAGAAGCCATGTCTGTCTGTCTGTCTGTCTGTCTAGGAGTAGGAATCTTGGGTTCAGGAGCAATTTATGTTTCATTAGAACAGTCCTTTGATTCACTGGGAGTGGCAAGACTTGTCTGGAATTGCTCCCTGTAACAATTTTTGACTCCTGTAATAGTTCTGTGTTTCTACAGCCAAACAAAGGAGCGTGGGATCAGATTTATCAAATTTCCTTCCTCCCTGAATCACTCCTTTGCTCTGTGCTTTAGATGAGTTTCAGCTGTTTTCTCTTTTGGGGTTAGTGGAAAAGTAAGCCCTGAATATCTGAGTGAAAAATAAGATTCTAGCAGCTAACAGAGTAGTAATTTTCAGTAAATCTGCAAAAAGTTCTTCTCTGCAAGTACCTAGATTAATGGCAACTTCTAGATAAATCTAACTAAAGGAAAACTGCTTGGTGAATAATATTTATTAGCACAAAGAAAATATGGAAAAGTCTGATGAAGTGGGTTGGGTTTTTTTGTCCCACATGTTTTTGTGGATGTAATTATTAAATGTGTTTATGTTTGCTGCAGATCACGTTTATGAAGTGCTGCTGTACACAAACATTAACCTTGATTCAGTAGAACCAGATTCCATCTTAAGTGAAGACCACATCAAGATGATTGTTCAGAAATCAGGAATGAAGTATAAATCAGCAAAGCTGAAAGAGGAAAAGGAAAGAAAAAACACAGATGCTGTCAAGAGGCAAGTTGTGAATGGGTTTTTTTTGCTCTTTTTATTCTATTCCTTTCTGCAGGTGTTTGGGGAGCAGGCAGCTTTGACTGTGTGGCATCGAGTGCTGTGGTGGGTGTGACCCAATTAAATTTTTTTGGTATTTCATCTCTTGTTTTTGCTGCAATTGCAGACCTCCTGCAGACCCAGCAGTGCTGACCCCACGGCCCCCAGTTGTCACCATCCTGGGCCACGTGGATCATGGCAAAACAACCCTGCTGGACAGCCTGAGGAAAACCCAGGTGGCAGCCATGGAAGCAGGAGGCATCACACAGCACATTGGAGCTTTTATTGGTATGACCCAAGTCCCCCTGCTCAGCTGAAACACAGTTTCCTCT